GGTGTTGATGCTTTGCGAGCATGAGCAAGATGATAAGTATCAACCAACTTATCAATATAAGCATCTTGACAGAGCCATAACTTCTTAGAGCTCCGGTCCCTAGTAATTCTCATATTAAGGAACCATTCAAGGTTTCCCATCTGTCGGAATTCGTATGTATTTTTGAGATCTTTGATTAACTGGTCCTTTTCCTCTCTGTCATCAGGGTGAGATACCACAAAAGTATCATCAACGTAGAAGAATATAATTATCCGTCCGTTGGTGAATAGGCATTTATCCTCAGGGATTGGAACGAAGCCTAACCGCTTAAGAGTAGTAGATAGTTCTTTAAGCCATAGAAGGGGTGATCTTCTTAGGCCATATAAGGCGCGTAGTAGGCGTAGAACGTAGTTGTTCTTCTTGAGGTTCCATACCCCCTTCAACTTCCACCAACCATCTGGTAGTTCAACGTAGACTAGCTCATCAAGTGAGCTGTTCACAAAGGCGTTGACACCATTCAATTGCTCAGCATCAAGGTCAAAGGCGTTGATAATAGCAAGCAAGATACGGAAGGTTCTCGCAGCTAGGGTGTGAGCTTTGGTATCTAGATCAGATACTGGTTGTAAATCACCTCGGACGCAGATACGAGCTTTGAACTTGACAAGATAACCATCATCATCAAACTTGTAGGTAAACACCCAATGTAATGGAATCACTGAGGTATCTTTCGAAGGTCTGTTAACTATTTCATAGGTATTTTGCTGGGTTATAGAGTCCCATTCCCGTTTGGCAGCATTAATCCATTCATCGCGATAGGGGTGCTTGTTGATATCATTCCAATGTTGAGGTGGGTCAGGTAACTGAGATCGATGAATTTTGAGAGGTTCTGATCTAGATAGGGGTTCCGCAAAGGCAGCGTTGATCATCCGATTTGGATTATCTTTAGCAATAGATACTGCTATATGATGGGTTGCTTTGCGCGTTCTCTTACCCTCGATTATATTGGATTCATTGAAGTCAGAACTGATCTCATTCGCCCTAGATGCTTGATTGCTAGATGATAATATCGGGTGAGTATCAATAGAGAAGTCAGATTCGATAGAAACGTTAGAATCAGATTCAGAGGTAGGATCCGGTGTAGGTAAGATATCTGCCATAAGTTGCGCCTCCAGCGCCTCATTGATATCTTCGTTATCTTTATCAACACTCTCCGTACGCGGTGGTATCTCATCAGGATGAAAGATATCAATATCTGAGCATAGATTATTCTCTTGTTGAGGATTGCCAACCCTTGGTTCTTGAACTTCGATATCCAAGAACTCGACCTCTTGAACAACCCAATCTCATAGCTGTTTTTCAATGTGAGGTTCATCTGGGTTGTATCGTCTATTCTCATCAAATATAACATCTCTTGTTCTTATCACCCTATCTAGATGAGAAATCCAAATCCTAAAGATGTTTGTAGAATCATATCCCACAAGATATTCAATATGAGCTCTGGGATCGAGCTTCTGTGATCGATTTCGATTGAGGATCTCATTGGGGATCTTTGCGTACGCTCGACATCCGTAGGCACGTAAGTGAGCACAAGAGTGGTGGTTGATATGAAGATATTCTTCTAGCGCTCGGAGTGGCGATTTCCATCCTAGTATCTTGGTAGGTGTCCTATTCAGCAAGTAAACGGCAGCGGTTGCTATCTCAGGGAACAGTGATTGGGGCAACAAGGATTCTATCCTAAGAGCCCTTGCTCTAGTGGTTATGATAGCACCTGCTCGTTCAGCAGCACCGTTCTGTTCATGGATATATTCCGAAGAGTATTCGATCTCTAGGCCCAGTTCAATTACCCAGTCCTTAAAGATATCAGATTCTTTGATTGCTCTCTCATTATCGATTTGTATGACCTTTGTTTCACAATCAAATTGGTGTTTAATCCATCTCAAAACTTTATCAAAAGCTTTCCTTATATCAAATTTTCTCGAGGCTGTTACTGCGATATGGAAACGAAGATAATCACATACAAAATGTATGAGCCATCGTTCTCCGTTGTAGCAGTAGGAAGGTCCTTGTACAATATCTGCATGGAGTCGTTCGAAGGGTAGTTTAGATCGTATATGGGGACGGCGAGATATTTGATTCTTTGCTTTAGCAAGATGACAAGGTTCGCAGAGTTCTTTGTCTTCAATATCAATGTTCTTTGCAATATCTTTGATATCTGATATCTGAACCCCTTTGGCATCGATTGGCAGATGTTCAACTGCTCTCATCGAGGGATGTCCTAGGCGTTGATGCCAAATCTTGGAGGAAGCAGTAGAGCTCTTCGCGGTGTAAGAAGGAGTAGTTGATGATTTTGATGATTTTGATATCTTAGTAGGTTCTGATTGGGATATCCTCGCAGGTTCTGCTGGATTGCTAGGTGGGGCAATATTAGCGAGCACTAAGGTGTTCTCACTAGTTCTGTGATATTCAGTAACCAGCAATCCGCCGTACACTTCTATACGAGCGAAGATCGAATCATTGCTAATCCTTCGCAATCTAAACGTTCTGCCATCGAGATAGATTCCTCCTATATGATAACAGGGTTTCCAAGCGATTAGGTTGGTGTGAGATAGTGGAATGTACGCAGCGTTCCTAAGGATTACTCTGAACTGCTTGCCTGCAGCATTGGTCATGTAGGTCCAAACAGTTCCATATTCCAAAACTCTTGTTGTCGAATCTCCAGTGTAAACTTGCTCTTCTGACGGTTAGTACGTTAGGAATCTAGATCGATTATTGCAGATATGTCACTCAGCACCAGTATCAAATATCCAGGAATCTCGGAGATAGGGGCGTTGGTTGGAAGGAGAGCCCTCGACGTTCACGTTTAGGCATCTTGTCAATCGGTCGACAGGTACGATATTAGAAGTGATCGAAGATTGATCAGTAGGATGATCGATAGAATGATCGATAGGTTCTCCGCTTGTTCTTAGAAGAACCATTCCTCCTAGTGTCTGTTCTATCATCTCAGTATTAGAAGCAGCTACCTTGGTTATCGCTGCATCTATCTTCTTCTTGATATCTTCATTCTTGAGTGCCTCGTCCACCTTCTTACGTCGTTGCTCGTTCTCCTTCCATCCTTCTGGTCTCTGACTTGGGTTGAGATAGTAACATTTGACCCAGGAATGCTTCGAACCACAAACGCAGGTTCTGGACCTTGATTGTCCTGCTTGCCTGCCATTAAAGGTAGCAAGGTTGGACAGAAGCGGTCCTGGCTTGCTGTATCCCTTCTTGCGATATTCGGAACGGAAGTCATTAACCACATCTGCGAAGGAGAAGTTCTCCTTACCTCCTATCTCAACTTCTCTCTTTCGGGTAGCAGCGTACGGATTATCGATAGACATGTTGATAAGGAAGAAGTCCTCCCATATATCGAAGTTGCCATCTATACCAGAGTGCTTGATTTCTGTTTCAATCAAGGTCCAAGCATCTAACCACTGATCTAGGTTCTGTTTAGGCACCTTCTGCAAGTTCTGATACTTCTTCCGTATCTCGTACTGGCGGTCCGCTGTTCTAGGTGATAACCTCTTCTTAAGAGCAATTAGGAGATCCTTCACATCAATGCGAGAGTTTCCACTAGTTGCTATTTCTAGCTCACTGAATGCCACTGTTCTGAAAATCTCTTGCTTGATCTTGCTAACCCCCTGCTAGTTTATCTTTATAAAGATTCCTATCATTGTTATACTTGCTGTTCTCCATCTCCCATTTAACTCTTGCTTCCATGGTGTGTTCAGTAGGGAACTCTGGGGGAACAGGTACAGGTATTTCACTCATCCTATGGGGACTTTCCTCACTAATAAGATCCAGTACTTGAAGCTCATCAGCAAGATCTAGTATCACAGTGTACCATAGGTTCCATTTCCTAGGAGAATCCAAGAAGAGTGAGGCTTTTGATGAGGAATTTTCTGCTGACATCTTGGTCGGTCGTATATAGGTATAGAATCGATATAGAATCGAACGAATAATCGATATAGGATCGAATGGATATAATCGATATAAGATCGTACAGATATAACCGATATTTCGCCGCTATCTCTCGCCGATATGTAGGTCGATGAGGATCGGATAGATATAGATATAGATATAGATATTGCCGCAATCGTCGCCGATAAGGAGGTCGGTGAGATCGGATATCAAGATATAGATAATGCCGCAATCGTCGCCGATGAGGAGGTCGGTGAGATCGGATAGATAGATATAATCAGATAGATATCTGTGCCGATAAGAAGGTCGGTATGGATAGATATCAAGATAGTTGAATAGATAGCGATAGGTAGCTAACCCGGGCTCATAACTGTCGGAACTAGATAAAGTCCGAATATTGACCCAAATACTGAATATCAAAAGAATAATTGAATTTCTTCTATTAACTCCAGTAATTACATGATATCTAGGCAGTATTTATAAGAAAGAAGATGCTTGAACATATGATAGGGACAGTGCTGATATCTTATCAGAACATCCATCCGGTTTCCGATATTGTCACAATAGAAGATCCTTGCTAATGTAATCAGTAGAATCTGAGATATGATATATCACTTCTGACACTATTACTACTATTATTCTTATCGTATTTTATCTTAATTCATTTTGCTACCTATTTTCAATAATTACTTCTTGTTCTTTTGTTATTATTTTATTTTATTTCTTTTATTATTATTATTATTATTATTATTATTATTATAATTGTGAAGCAGAAAGAGGAGAACGCGGACGCAATTCCGTTATCTATCCAGTTCACGGGTTATAGGCAGCTATCCTGATACGATACCATGGATAGCCACGTCCGCAGAAGCACAGACCAAGAATAGAACAATGAACCGACAGGGGCTAGTACCATAGATATACATTGCATAGTCAGGGAGAGAAAGAGCAGTGGGTGGGGGAGAGGCGAAATGCTGTTGAATGATGTGAAGTTGAAATGTGGAAGCTCCCCTACCTTCCAGTGAAGTTCGATCCTACTGAATTATATATACCTGTTATAGGTTCCCCGAAGCCAATGGCTCCTTTGGAGGAGGTGGTATACCTCCATTTTCTATGTGAGGAGAAACGCTGGGAAAAGTGAAGTGGCATGGTACGGCAATGGCATGGTAAACCGTAGTTGGGGTATTTGGCTCTTGGGGTATGCTCGATTGAGGTTTCATTTTATACAGCGGGAGAGCAACCGGGCCAGTCACTCAGTTTCCGGCGCACATGTACTATACATACCTACGTGCAGTACATACGTCGTAGCTCTGAATCCATGACACCTCCTGCCACACGCTGTCTCTCTCTCCTCGGTACGAATTCGCTTTCAGAAAAACAAAAAGTGGAAAACATATCTCGGTTACAATTAAATCTGCGATTGGAGCTTCTGCCTCTGCCGCCGGAGCTAGGTTGTTAGAGGGAGTGAGAAACCCGGGCAAGGAATGCAAGAAAAGCCTGACAATATGTCGTTGGATGATCGCCAAGCAGTTTGCGGGTGAGGCTTGACGCGGCCGCTTGGCATATTCCCCGACGCCAGCGGAAGGTTGAAACGCAGCTAGCCAAGTTGTCGATGGTGCACGGTTTATTTTTCAAAGAGCTAGTGTGCATGATCCCGGCTGCAATTTTTATACTCTAGCAAAAGCAAGCCATGAAGCAAGCCGTGCAGAGAATAAACAATTGCATTGATGTATTACTATCACGCATGCAAAGGCCATACATGCGCTGCTCACGTCTCAAGCGCGGGAATCTCACGGAATCTCAATGAGGGAAGCTCGTCGGCTCAGTCAGGATCCTCCCTGCCCTTGGGCGTGCAATACGAACAACAACGTAAACAGGGCACATCCGTGTGGCATTCATAGAGGCAGCCGGCCCCTCTCTTTCACGAATTGTATCAAGCGCCGTAGGCTGAAGGATGGCTTTCACCCGTTGAATCATATCAACGCTCTGCGTTGGGCTTGAGCTTGGTGAATCATTCCACAGTTTGCGGGCTGGGGTCTCAATGTCATTGAGGACAACCGGCAGCGGTCCTCGCCATCTCTAATCTAAGGTGAAGTGTGGCGACACCAATCTGCTCGCGGGCCTGCGGAGCAGAAAAGGTGGAAGATCGAATTGTGATGACGAAGCGTTCGATGGTGCCGTCCTCGGGTACAAGATGGAGAATATTGATTATGGCACCGAACTTGCCAACGGGGAGCACAGAAGGAGAGCGAGAGGGGGAGATAGGCCAATTATGTTTATGAGATTTGGCAAGCATGATTGTGCGAGTGAAGGGTGGCGCTAAGTGAAATGAAGTTGTTGATGCTTCACCAGGACCTGGCTTGCAGAATTCACCTTTGGAATATATTAAAAACACTTCGCAGTGTTAGATATAACTCGTGGGAGCATCTAGACTTTAATATTAATATATATAAATCCTCATATAGCTGATGTGGAGGCAGTAGATTAAACGGAGGAAGGTTCAAAATTTTTGACTCCCACTAATAATTTAAACTGAAACGTTTATATTGGCATCAAGTATTGCCGTTCCATCTTGATTGAGGACTTGTGCCTTTCAGGGGGCTTTAGAGGTAATAAAGTTGCCTGTGGCAAGCTTGCTCACTAGCTCACTAAACATTGTCCACAGCTCCAAGCAAGGGATCTATACACGAGTACGGAGTACTCCGTACATAGTAATAATATTTCAAATTAACTAGTTGGTGATAGCTCACTTAGGATTAGTTAGAATTTAACGCTAAGCTCCACATAAGAGCTCTCAACATCACCCGTCTTCGTAATAAAGTATCTCAACGAGTAACCTTTACTCCTAGTATAGTATACATCACCAAAGTTCCTATGATGGAGAATGGAAGAATTTAAAAATAAAAGATTTGTGAGGATTGGACTGAATATTTGAGCTAGATGTGTGATATTAAGAAAAAGAGTGATACAGCTATATATATCTTGTATGAGACGGATGTTGATTCCTCACAAATGATGAGACTGTTTATTCTCTAACTACGCTGTATGTACGTCGCGATATAGCGCGCATTGACGCCGCTGCCACATCTGAACCTCGGGTCAGAGAGCTGTAAACCTTGGACAACCCAACAATGTTTGAAACAAAGATTCACACAAGGTTCACGCAAGTTCCAGCTGACAAGGCCCTGGGCCAGGCCTGAGCGATGGATCTACGCTGCGTGTGGGAACAGGATCCTCGCAGCAGGTCCGTATTTCTCTACTGGTGGCCACCTCGTGGTGGTACATGTACGGAGTACTGGATTCGATTTAGGTTAGCCATGACCCAAGTTATCGCTCCCCCATGTTCTCTACAAATATCCCCCCCCCCCCCCCCGTCCCTGCGTGACCTGGCATACTACGTTGAAAGGAGAAACGAGAAACGACATGGAAGACGGTCTGTCGGTTTCATCCCCCAGCGCATACAAACCCACCCCAGAGCTCAAGAGTAACTCCTGCACAGGCATTGGAATTTCATGCAGCAAACTCCAGCGCCGGATGGCTAGACAAAGGGACAGGGATGAGGCTAATTATACCCGGCCAAGAGCCACTAAATATTTTATAGGTGGAGTGCATACAT